AACGTGTGACCCCCTAAGCCCTAAACTCTTTGGCAGCTTGCTTACGCAGATAAGTTTCTGATGGACTCATTGGTTCGAACTTTAGGAGTCTGGGATCTGGTTAAGTACAGACGCTGTAGGTGTATGTTTCGAAATGTTTCCGAGTGACGACTGGAATTTCCTGTCGAAGCTTGTTGAACTTCTTCTAGGGCTACCCATAGGCCCCATAGTAGTTCCTGTTTGGTGGCTTATATCTAGGATCCTGTTAGGTAATCCCCAAAAGGAACTACTATGGGGCCTATGGGTAGGGCTAGGAAGGGTCTTTGGGGCTGCAGGTGCAAGCCTCGCACCCTGGAACCCCGGGAGTCTCTGACGCATTCTGTGCGATGTACCCTGATGTAATCTCAAGATTTTCAGGTTTAGGGTTAGGGTTTAGGGTTAAGGGTTATAGCGCCTAAGTCATAGTATGTACCAGTTCATCGTATGGATTTCCTCTGATACCCACCCACTGTCACCCAGAGTTTTGCTACTGTAAAGCCGAAGAAGCAGTTGTGGGGTACTCTGCACCCGGTTGCCTATACATGTACCAGGCTAGTGGGCTATGGGCCCTGTATCGTTTCTACGGGTGTGAGGGTTTAGGGTTTAGTTTATATGGAAGTGTATCTCAGGAGGTTGTTGGCTTCCCAGCAAGCTGGCAGAGCTTCCCACTTAAAGCCACACATCCTTCTCAGTCATCCGCCCTTGTAAGGCCGGCAGGGCCTTCGCCCAGTGCTTTGTTTGGCGGCTCGTCTGCTGCTTCCCCGTTTCAGGCCAGAACTCACCGATGCATCGTCCTTCACAGGTAACTATACAACTCACGGGATGTATGTATTGCAGCATATGTACGTAGTTGGGTTACCTTTGTTCACTTCTAACTCCGGGGGACTTCTAGCAGAGTTGCGTTCCTACAGCCATATCCAGGTTATACTAGAATCATAGATCCCAGACCTAGAAACGCAGCGGCGGCGTCGCTTATGTAAACTCCGGCCTAATGGCACCGTGTAAGAGCCGTTAAATCGAACCTTTATCTCTTCTTTTTCACGGACCTTGACCACGAATAGGGTCTTGTGTTTCTGTTTGTCGACTGGCTTTACCTATAGTCTCCATTGTAGTTCTTTTTTTGGTTACCCAATTATATATTATAGAATCCTAACTTTAAAGCTGGTGAACCCAAAAAAAAGAAATACAACGGAGACTATAGGTAGGGATTAAGGTCGTGGGAGGTGTCCAAACTCTCCCGACCCGAGCCCCTTTGCTGAGCCCGAAGCCCTGAACCTACCAAAACCCGAAACTCTAGCGCAACACCTAAGCAGATGAACAGCTTTAAACCTTTGCGATACCCGATTCGTGTCCATTCCCAGCCGTCTAGATAGATCGCTTCTGACTCCCAAGCTACAACCCAAATATACCAATATGTGGGGGGGGGGCCAAGTCATTGCTGATACGATTTCCTTGGCGTTTGCATTGTCATGTGTAGTAACATCTAAGCCTGATTGTGAAGGCACCCCTCCGCATAAAACACAAATACTCTCTGAGCGCTGCGCTACGGATCCATGCTCTCTCGTGCTACCCGTCGTCTCCATCAACGCAGGTCCGTGTTGTTTAAGTACCGGATCCAAATCATAAAGCCGGTTGAGCTGCAAAAGGAACTTACTTGCGTATTATGGTGCTCTCAGGAATTATGTATGTTTTTGTATATATAAAAGCTCCTAGGGCGGTTCATTGTGGTTCTCAGGGCACTCAAGGTGGTGAGTAACGCTACAGGCCTAAACCCGAAACCCTAAACCCCTAAACCCTATACCCAAAGCCCCTAAAACCTAAACCCGTAAACCCTTAAACTCTAAGCCGAAGGAAGGAGCTCCCCCGAACTGTTGAAGCAAAGCCGGGAAAGGCGGCGACCACTGCGTCTGCGAGCTCCAGCAGCGGAGGTGGATAGTTCAGGATTTTGGGCTTGGGGTTTAGGGTTTACGGTTTTGGGGATAGCTTACACTTAGTCACATCGATATTAGGGTCTATTTCCTGAAGATTACGTGCAGAGATCAGGTTTGATCTTTACATGTGTGACTTCGCTGCCGGATAATGCACAGATCAAAGTTGTGGTGCGGGCGCTTCTCTTTTCCCGGGACTACCGAAAGTTGTGTATCGAGCTGATGTCGATTCGACACAGCTAGGGTTTAGGTTGATTTGCGGGCGGGTGTATTATCATACAGCCCTAACTAAACCCGAAACCGTGTTGTATAGGGACTATAATAAGGAGTCTTTATTGCTGACGACCCTTTGTAGGCCTCTATATCAGGGGCTCCGATCCTCGCGAGCCCTTTGAGCATGAATCGCAGTTCTTTCCCTAGCCCTCCAGGTACCGACTATAGAGGGTGCTAGAGCCCCTAGGACCCTATATAGTAGGTACCTGGAGCGTTAGGGTAAGGTCGTTCCTGAATTAAGCGGTTTGAGCATCTGGTGCGGCCCTATATAGTAGATACCTTATTTTGAGGTCCTTATAATAAGGATCCTATTATTTGGGGTACTATATTAGGGTCCCCTATTTTCGGAAACCCCCATATAGTAGGTACCTGGAGGGTTAGGGCTTGTCTTTGCCAAGCCTTAACACGATGATAGCTCGCGCATTTAGTTCCGGTGCGGCTTCAGGAGCACTTTTAGATCTAGCGCCACAGTGGCTTCTAGAAGCTTTAGGGCCAGGCCTGGGGGTTTAGGGTTTAGGGTTTAGGGTTTAGGGTTTGGGATGTAATGATGTAATACGGTAGGTTACTGTCCTCGTGTCATGTATGGCCTTATGAAAAGGGGCCTTCAATAGTATTTTATGCTTTGAGACGTTCACACCCTACTTAGCCTACTTAGCCTTAGAGACTATAGCCTTCATGGGGACTCTCGGACGACGTAGATTCTGGCCGAACCTTGTAGTCTAGCTATTAAGACACTTGAAGTAGCCTAAACCCTAAGCCCTAAACCCCTTGAAGTCTAACTGTTACGGCACCTGAAGTAGCCTAAACCCTAAACCCTAAACCCCTCTAACTGTTAAGGCACCTGAAGCAGCCCCATTTAACCGATCTTAGGGCCTCTCAGGTCAGACCTCTACGCCTTTCGGTGCTGGGCACGAGCCTGTGTGGGGACTGTGCTGCACGCATGTTGCACTGGATGTTCAGAAGATGTTCACAGTATGAAGGTTCACGTTTTCCGGCTGGAACTTAGGTATGCTCACTGTTGAGACTGTTGTCGATCTTTTCAAGCGTTCGTGTTCTCACGTGTGCGATGCCCAGTCTTGTTCCAACCTGTATACCCTAACCAAGCCCCTCAACCCTGAAACACCAAAACCCTAAATTCACTCTCGAACGCCCGTAAACCATGCGTGTGTCTATGCGAAGCCACGTCATATCTCTTTAAAGAGTCAGCGCAAGGCAACAAGAGGATAGTTATGTGACACTTGTGATATGTGGTGGGTGGGTGGTGAGCCTACATAATGCTACACATCAATGTAAAGGCAAGTCGTGCAGGTGGGTCCAATGCTGGATAAACATTGGAATGAATGCACTGCATGTCCGTTCGATTATAAATAGTGGTTGTACGTGCAACAGACATTGAGCCAGATTCATATTTTCTGGCATACCACTGGAGGTAGAAAAGCAGGTGTTGATCATTGGGTATTCATTGGTTTGGAAGAACTGCTGGATAGGAATTGTTAAAGAGCAAACCTCGTAACATTTCGCAGATAACCCTCGGCATGGCGCCCTTGCCCCTTAACCAAGAGGTCCATGTACATGTTAGGGTTCAGGGTTTGCGGTTTAGGGTTCAGGGTTTAGGGTTCGGGGTTTTGGGTTTAGGGTTTAGGGTTTCCATGTATATCTCTTTCATGTAATTTTTCTCTCAAAGACCAGCCTTACTATGGTTGGGAGAAAAAGATTCATACCGGTCGTGTTAACGTCGTATATATGAACCCTCTTGGAATGAGGTGTTTACGCTTAAAGCCCAAGACGTTCATCGCTCGCCCCCAAACCTTATAAACTCTACACCCCAAACCCCTAAACCCTCAACCTTATTACCCCTAGCCCTAAAATGATTTATAAACCCTATTAAACCCTCAACCCCTAAATCGTATAATCCCCAGCCCTAAAATCATGGCCCCTCTTGCTTCGATGATTCCTTGAGGTCTGCAGCCTCCCCATTTGCAGCTCTTGGGAGCTCCACGGGATCCTCTCCATTCCAGGCAGCGGTGCCTTCAGGGCGGTAACGACCCCTAAACCCCTAAACCCCTAAACCCCTAAATTTACTAAACCCTAAACCCTAAACCCCTAAACCCTAAACCCTAAAACCCTAAACCCTTAAACCCCAACCCTAAATCCTAAACCCCTAAACCCCACACCCCTAATTACCAATATTATTCCTTAGGGTTCCTTGGTGTAACTACACTAGCATGAAACCCAAACCCCTGTTCTAATCACAAAGGCCCCTACAGTATGTGTAAATAGGTTGTTCACGCGGTTTGCTTGGGGTTTCATTCGGGTTAGGGTCTATTTAGGGTTTGGGGTTGATTAATTAGGTTTTAAGGCTTTGGGAATTGGTGCTCTGGTTTAGCAACTTTTGGTACCTCAAGCCAACTCATGCCGTCAGGTGCTTAGCATGGTCGCTGTTATCAACTCCACACTAGCAGTTGTGTTATCACCTTAAAAGTAGGTTATGGGTAGGATATATGATAGGTTCATGATGAGAACTAAGAATTTGTTTATGAAAAATACTCCACACAAGACCAAAATGGTATCATAACACAAATAGTATGTGTTATAACTTTTATCATGCATCTAAATCTAGGCTGTGGAGTTTACGGTCAGGGTAAGGGTGCGTAGGCCAGGCGTCTACTTCATGTGGTGGAGCAGGCAAGTATCTGCTGTTCAAGCAGCAGGCCCACGACACGATATCATCATACCCTACTGTAAACCCTAGTCTAAGCGCCAAGCCTTTTATGCACTCTAAATTTAAGGCCAAACCCGAAAGGAGATATCAACGTGCTGGGAAAATTATCATGTGGTGATCTGTATTGGTGTGTGAAATATTCCTGTTTGTTGAGGGCCAATTCGGCCGCTTGATCCTTGCCTGCGGAGGAAGAGGGAGCATTGCCAAGTAACGCTAAGCTGAAACCGTAAACCCTAAACCCCTAAACGCCTAAACCCCAAAACCCTAAAACCCTTAAACCCTAAACCCCTAAACCCCCGCGTGACGATTCTGAAGATGAGACCACGACGGTCGGTTGGCTCTTTGCGTGTGTGTGTGTGGTGTGTTGGACATGTTATGCCGAAAGGATAATCCTGCGATTCTTCGAGAAGCGCCGGCCGGTTGGACAACGACTGCTGTTAGTTACTGTTACTAGTTAGACAGTCTGCAGACTCATGATGCTCTCCAACTCCAAATGCGTGCCATCCAGGATGACGTGACGATTTTCCTGCGGAAGACCTCGCCGAAGAAATTCATGAGCTCGTTCTTGCTGGGCACGATGTGGTGTCCTCTGCAGTCGCGGTTCCGCCCCAAAAAGATCTTGCGGCGAAGCTCGGCGAGCGAATCGAGGCCCGGCTGTCAGTGGCGAAACCCTCTGTGGACGCCGGAGCTGGCAGCAATCGTGTGCGAGATGGGCAGCGTGCAATGCGTGCAAAGTGACAAAGTGTCGATCTTGTCATCCCACAGTCCAGATTCACGTCCTTTGCCAAAGCAGTGCTCGCAGAACTGTCGGAGCAGCACGGTCTGGAGCCCGACGCAATCAATTTTGCCTCGCGCGTGCTTCAGGTTTTCATCGAGCTTTTCTAGCCCAAAGGGTCCAAGTTATAGTATAGCATATACTTTTGGGGCCCAAATACCTACAAAGTAGCTACCATATTAATACTTGGACCCTTTGGGTAGGACTCAGCGATGCTAGCGGAGCCGTAAAACCACAATCCAACCGCCGGTCTTCGGACTCCCTAAACCCTAAACCCCCAAACCCTAAAGCCCCTAAACCCTAAACCCTAAACCCTAAACCTGTCATGTATCCCGAGGCACAGCGCTTTCTCAAAGGGCCAATGCATGCACGCATGGCACCACCGGCGCC